AAGTTTAGTTCAAAATAACATACACAGTACTTTGAATCAGCATAGCACTAAGCAAAAGAACCTTCACCAACATGAACGATTCAGTATCTCACTGGTAAGAGAAGGAAATGCTTTCATCAGAAAGGCCAATAACCATACCTTGGTTGATAGCATTTCATAAAAAAATTACTTAAATAGAAGAATTCAGGGGAAAAAAAAAAAGAAAGCATGCTGGCATCCAGAGTCTGTATTCAGAGATATCTGAAGGCTGGAGACACACCAAAAAAACAAGTTTAACATGTTCAGTGCTCATTTGGATTCTTAGCTGTAGAGCTCCAAGTACAGCAAGTCATTCTCAACTGAAAGCTCCTAACTAATTTGGCTGTTCAGAAGAGTCACAAGAAAGGACTCCCACACAAGATTTCCCACAGAGGGGTGGTTTCTAGAAGTAAACGCTTAAGACAGTATTCAAAACCTTTCAACATGAGCAGGCCTTCTACTTTCCCACCCTCAAACTTTATCTGCTAGCCTTGCGTGTTTCCAGCCAACATAACCCTTAAGGTTTTTTTCGCATTTGAGATTTATGCGATTTAAATGTGTGCAAGCAGGAAACATTCAGAAATCATAGGTCTTCCAAATCTTTTTTGTCAGTCCAGATTTAATCACATAAAAGATTCTCCAACCCTGACTAGGAGTTTTCTGACCTGCCTCCACTGTTACCAGAATGACAGTGCTGCCCTCTCCACCTAAAGGCAGCTGCTGCTGAAACCTCCCTCACCAAACTAGGAAATAACCTCAGATCACTTATCAGAACTCTTGAGGTCCAGGTTCTGCACCCACTTCTGATGCAGTTATGTGCACATTTTTCACTCTTCCTTCCTCATCATAATCATGAGGCACCTTTATAAGAGTGAGGACAATCACAGTTGGGGGCAGGTTAGGCCTGGATTCTGTTGCCTCCACCCTACGCTCACTTGTGTAGAGCATGTTTAGAATACCAAAGTACAATCATACCTCTTCTGTTTGGCCAATTTCATAGCCATGCTCTGAAGTACTGCTTTAACTGGAAGTTTTAATAAACACTTTTGCGAAGAAATTCTAATAAAATACAGCAAGAAGAGTGCTATTACACCAAAGTTAATGCATAATTGCTCAGTCAAAGCTTTACAAACAAGTTTGTCTACCAGCTGTCATTAGTGACGTTCTTCAGGAGAAGCCAAGCTCAAATGGTCATCTACCTTTTACCACCCCTGCCCTCCAGATAGCTGCAGGTTCCAACAGGCTGATGTTAGTAAGGAACAGTCAATGTGTTCATAAAGCAGCAGCTAACACTATTTAGTTGGTCATCTTATTTGAGCAAAGCAAAAGTTTTTTACGACAGAGAAAGTCCTTAAAGTCCTAAAGATATCTGACTTACATCAATGTGCTATATCCATCTCCTACACTACATTGTGGTCACTGCAGCATACTCAGTAAAGAACAGCATGCTTGTCAAGTAGGAATCTAGTATATTGAAAGAGACTTTAAAGCACTTCCCTATCATTAAGATTCCTTTGTTTTGTATCTCTTTACCACAATGACTCATTGTTATCTTGTATTTATTTTGCCAATTATTTATGTCCTTTGATCAAGGGGGTTAACCTGGTTCTAACACTTCCAGAATTAATGCAGGAAGATAGATTTATCATAACTCCACCTGACAAGATAAAAAACAAGAGTAATGCCTAAGGGCAGCTAATGTTTAGAAGTTTTGCTCCTGTATGAACATGCATATAATCTGTTCATCTTCTTTCAGAATACTTCATGCTGCAACCAAGATAATCTGACAGTGACTGATCACTCTTACTCCCAAACTTTTTCATCTCCATTATTCAAGCTACAACCTGTGCCTAAAAACTAAAATTCCTGAGTATTTCTGGAATACACAACTCCAAGCACAACAGTACCCCTTCTCCCCCCCTTCACTGTTTAACACCTGCTCTCCTTTGATTCTGCTGCAGGAATTTGCATTACTTTGTACCTTAGAAGGCAGCTATTTTCACCAGGGGAAAAAAGCATAGCCAGTGTAACATTGTCATGCTCGATTTGTTAGAATTATCTAATCACTTAAAAACTCAGGTAGCAAAAGAAAGTGAAGTCACTCTGGAGCCTGCTGCATTGCAATACACAGCACAACCTTCATTTTGGCAACAATCACACCAGAAGCCAGCACAGTATCTGCATTATAATCTTTACCTGATGACTGAATGACATGGTTAGTTCTCATCATTGATTAGGTACAGAAGCTTAGATTGAAGCATCCAGCTCTGAGGAAAGCTTTTTATAATGAAGCTCTTAAGCACAAGCTTTGATCTAATGAAAAATAACATGCCTTACTATGCTTCAGGGTTAGGCTTTAATTCAGAAGCCTTTTTAAATGCATCAGAATCAATTCAGAATGTCAGCACCATATTGCTTGCAGGGAAGTCACATGTAACATTACTTACCCTAAGATTTAGATCATTTCAAGACATCTAAAGCTGTTTGTCTGCACACACCAGTAGAAAAAAATTATCTACATGAGCTGTTGAAAGCCAGAAGACAGTTGGGCTGATGAGTTAAAAGGGAATGACTATCACATGCTCAGATACTTTGTTACACACTTCAATAAAGTGCTTTAGGGAATATGCATTATGACTATATAGAAGCCATCTTCAACCTGGTTCTCCAACTACTAATTTCTATATAAACTTGTTAACATCCTCAAGTATTCAGAAATATTCACGAGCATAGACAGACAGCTGCAGGACACATTCCCAGGTTGAGGATTTTAGCAATTTTAAGATCATGGAACAACTATGATGGATACATGGATACTAAAATCCCCTTTATTTTAATGATTAACGCTTAACTAAGATGTCAAGTTCTATAGGAGTCTGAACTATTACTCTCACACTGGCTAAGAACAGCCCAAACAAAAATCACTGAGACTATTAGTTCTCTTCTTGGTCTTGTTTTCTGACCAGGGAAGAACCCCCAGCCCCTTGGAAACAGAATAGCTTCAACTGCAAGCTCAGACATAAGAGTTTGGAGTGCAAGTTACAAGAGAGTTGTATTTTTCTTTTTATTTTTGCTAGGGAAGACTAGTCAGGAGTGTCATATGAAAGTACACCACGTTGTAAAATAGCAAAGGTATTTCAGTGACAGGAAAAAAACCCGCAACTCTTCAAACTATAAGCAATATTAGTAAAAACCTCCAGGGGTTTATCAGCAGCTCTTAATTCAGTCTTCACCCAGCAGTGTCCAAGATACACTAAGGGCAATAATTAAGAGTGGAAAATTCTGTCTTCTAGATCTTTAAATGAATGCATAGGTGTATTGCTAGGACCTCCCCTAATGTAAATATGTTCTCTCCAAACTTCGTTGCAAGTTACAACAAAGTTTCTGCCTAGCCTGTTGAAGCAGATCGCTTTGGCAAGGCCGACGCCAGTCTCAGAAACCAAGGGCTGAGGAGAAGTTAAACACGAGTGTGGCAACTTGCCAAACCCCAGGATCCTGATAGTCTCTCCTCTTCAATCTTTGGAACCCCAGGCTTGCTAAAATATGTCCAGTAGCAGCCTGTACTGATACTGCTGATTGATTTACAGGAAGTTAAAACTGACCCATAAAAGGAACACTGAAGACAAAGCTTGCCAACATTTTACTTGCTCTCCAAAACAGCAATTAGAAAATATTTTCGTTTGCCCTATCGGCCAGCAGCAGAAAGATCTATCATGTGTTTTAGCATATGGCAATAAGCAGCAGCTTTTCAGTATGAGGATTCATATTTGAAATTTTTTAAGATAACCTTTAGGGCAGCAAGTCCAGAAGCTGATGTACAGCTTGTCCGTCAGCAGCCACATGTCACACTTCATCTTTCCCGAGCTTCCACTTGATAAAGCTTAAAGTTCACAGAAACAGTAAGTACCAGCTGCCATCCTATTATCTCCCAGCAGCATAAGTTTAAACAGCAGCATCTGTAATAAAGTCTACTTTTTCATATCCAAGGAGATACTCTGAACACAGTGAGGAGGCTTGAAGAGAACCGCAGGTTAATACCTGGGCTGCACACAGAGCTAGAAATGCAATACCACCTTGAGGTGATTAAAGAGTTGAGGGGAAAGCCTTCTTACGACGCCATAGCAAATGAGAGTTTGTTCCATGGCATTTAACACCACAGCATAAGCAAAGCTGACCATAGTTGGTATACAACTTGAGTCTTCAAAACAGAGGCGCTGAAGAGTTTGGAATTATATCTAGGAAAGGAATGACGTGTAGCTTGGACAAGTGAACAGGCCGTTCCTGCTGCTGTGTGCTCAAAGTACCTTTTTGATACACAAACCCACGAGCTGAAGGCAGAGCTAAGCATAACACAAGTCCTATACTCCCTCACTCCACACTGCAGGGACACAAGTTACTTCTAAATTAAGCAGGTGACACCAAACATGCAAAGTTTGATCACAGTTCCTTTGAGGAAAATTTCAGCTATTTGAGTTTACCTGTAAAGTGTACTTACTAAACATAACCTCCTTGGAAAAGATACTCATTTCCTCTCGAAGTGCTACAGAGCCGTAAGTGTGAATGGATTTAAGCCGCAGTCATAACCAAGGCCACAAGCACCCGGGCGAGCGGGTCAGGAGGAGCAGTAGGAGCAGGAACCCCCCGGGAGTCTCGGAGCCAGCAAGCACAGCAAAGCAGGGTTTTGGGGACTGCCGTGAAACCCTGAGGCAAGCCAAGAGCCCCACAACACCAACGCACACAGCCTATAAAAAGCCAAGAACTTCACTCCCGTATCAAGACCTCCCTCTGTGTATGCCTCGAACGCAGTCAAGGGGGGTTGCAAGGTAACGGGGAGAAAGGGAGAAACCAGAAGACGGGCTTCACAGCCCAAATACACCTTCCTCTGCAAAGGCCTGGCCCCCGGACCCCACAGCCAGCCGCGTCCACAGGCCTCTGCCCCCTCGGGGCTTGCCCAGCAGAGACGCCCGCTCCCGGGCCCTTACCTGCTATATCCCAGAGCTGCAACCGCACCAGGGTCCTGCTGTCCCAGTTGATGACTTTGAGCGCGAAATCCACCCCGATAGTGGCCCGGTAGTGCTGGGAGAAGAGCTGGTGCACGTACCGCTTGATAATGCTGGTTTTACCCACGCCCAGCTCCCCGATCACCAGCACCTTGAAGAGATGCTCCCGGCACTCCGGCACGCCGGAGCC